CTCTGCAAATTACTGACCGACCACGACTTAGTCTGCGATACCGCTATCAATAATGGAGGTGTGCCCACGCCCCTTACGGACTGCAGCATGGTACTGTGCTTCACCGGTTTATATCCGCGAAATTTCTGATAATGTATATGTACCTCTTTTTTAGGCATGCGCTGGAAATGCTTCGGAGTTCTGTGGAGGACCAAATCGACTTAACGTGATTAAATGTTCTCTTTGATGTTCGATTTCTCATTGAGCACCCTAGTTATACAACTATACTGGTGACAATCTCCCTCCAATTTCTACTCCCGGAGGTGGCGGAGGTGGAGGGGCTCCCGTTTTTCCGGTCACGTCGGGTCTTCCAACACCTTGGAAATACGTGGCTTGCTATGTGTATGTTTTTTCTCGACATCTTCCGTGCATCCTTTCTCATGGAAACTCAGTGACAATGCTTTTGGCCGTATCTTTGAATTTGAACAACCTGACAACGCTGACACGACTGTTGAAGAATGTATCAACCTATGTGCTGGTCAAAACTTTACCGTGGCAGGCATCGAATTTAGCGTAAGCCCCTGAACACATTCAACTTTTCCATTAGAACATACAGCTGATATGTTTCCATCAGGATCAATGTTGTGAGTATCATTGACAGTTGGTTGCCTTGACCATTCACTAAGGATGTACGCATATTTGCAACAGTTTGCGGCGATAGACTAGTCAATGGCGCCGTTGTCGCGGACGACTCAACATGCAACATGGGATGCGCTGGTAACGCTACGTTTGTTTGTTTTTCTGGCATTAGACGACATATCCTGACGTTTGATTTAAATTTATCAGAGAAGCTTGTGGTGGACCAAACCGACTGTCAGTACATATGTACGTTCTTTGCGGGATGTTTTGCTAACGAACGAGACGCAGTTCCGTCTACTCCGAGTTGTCCAATGTCACTGCTCTGCCCGTCCCCACAGTACAGACCACGAACCTCACTGGAGACTGGACATATGCCGGCTGCTACACGTTAGTCGTGATTCGTACTGAAAAGTCATCTGGAAATAATAGCCAAACCACAGAGATAACGCTGCTGGAGTCAGGACGCTTCCATGGCAGTTGATTCTTACCCTAAACAATTCGGCAGAAGCATGCACTACCCAATGCTCTGCTTTCGGTTACACTGCTGCTGGTATGGAGTTTAGCGACCAATGCTGTAAGCCCTGACCGCCCTCAGTAGCTGCAAAGCTGACCTTTCTTTTCCGATATACAGTCTGTGGTGATATCTCTGACATAGCAGCTAATGGTGGGACACTGGTATGTGCTCTTTCCTCTCTCCCTCGTTCAATGCTCCAATCTTAGCCTTCGACAGGCTCCGGAAACTGACTGCAATCAGCAATGCTCTGGAGACCCCATACATCTTTGCGGAGGTACATAGGCGAATTAATCTTTGGGTATACTTTCAGGGGTTCTTACACTGTGGATCTAGGTGGGAACAGACTGCAGATGTACACTTGGAACGGGACTTTGAATGTCTGGCACACACCTGAAAATACTGGCTACTACGAAGTAAGTCCGAATTTTCCGGCATCTTCTATCGTTGGGGCTGGTTGCTGATAGTCTCATAGTTCTTCGGTAAGTGTAACGTGTTGAGACTGGTTATGAACTTTCGTTGAGTAGCATCTTTTCAGTTCCCGGGTATGTGCCTTGCTAAGTGCCATCTGTCGTCGTTCTTCGCGCTAATCCACATCTGTCAAGTGTCGTGGTTCCTTTGATTGCCACCCTCGGTGTTAACAACAAGGTCACATTCCTCGAAAAAGCCGGCACCAGCGAGTAAGCACTTCTTTCAGCTAATCTATACATAGGCTGACTTCGCGTTCAGGTTCGACAATTCTACCGGAGCATACGAACTCGATCTCAGCCTCGTTTCAAACTTCTCGGCTGCATGGCGCACCATGCATGTTCAAACCGACGTGTTCTGTTCTGGAAGTGTCATCCTTCCTGACAAGGGCGCGAGACAGATCAATGTCGGAGGTCAGTACCGGGGCATGGATTGCGGCAATTGATAGAACATGGGTTGAATATCATTTCTTGCTTAGGGTGGTCGCTGGATTCTACCTTTGGTATCCGACTTTACACACCCGATGGTGTACCTGGTATCAATTCGACTAACGACTGGGAAGAAAACTGGAATGAACTTCATTTGCTGGTGAGTCACTTTGTACAATTTTCAGTTCCTTCTTGTAACATTTTATTGAATAGGCTGGTCGATGGTATCCTTCCGCTTTAGTACTCTCTAACGGGACCATTCTTGTTATGGGCGGAGAAACAGGCAGTAACGCATCTCCTCAACCAAGTCTTGAACTTCTTCCTCTTCCCGAAGGCTCCGGCACGGTGTTCCTCGATTTCCTCAACAGGACCGATCCCTACAATCTGTATGAGTTTTCTACCGAGGCAATGATCGCTGATTTGTGACCTAAATTGCACAGTTATCCATTCCTTACAATGTTACCCTCCGGTCGGATTTTTGTCGGTAGGTGTTTCTCATTTGGTTTTTGGACTCAAAATGAAGAGTCTCATTCTCCTCCTCGTCTTCCTCATGACGCTCGTGCTAGGTTACTACAACGAGGCTCGGATACTTGATCCCGTGACGTTCGAAACCGTGAAGGCTCTTCCTAATATACCAGGGGCGGTGAATAATTGTAAGGAGCACCTCACAGCCTACTAGTCTCAATGCCCAGACTGACCATTTCGATGTAGTCCTTGCAGGCCGAACATATCCTTTGGAGGGTTCGATGATCCCCTTCCCTCAATACGCTCGTGAGTCCTATCGATATTGATTACTGGACAAGTAAAGCCAGTAAATGACTATGATTATAACGATTCTGGTCCACAGCTTACACCGATCCACTTCGGGTCTTGATTTGCGGAGGATCTACTCCTGGACCTGGTATGAGAATTTTCTCGCGACAAAAATATCATGTTTCCTGATAGAAAAAAAAACCGTGCACAGCGCAAGTGATTGACAACTGCGTCTCCATCGAACCGGAAACCGAAAACTCCACATGGACGTTGGAGCGTATGGTAAGTTCTTGTTTGTTGAGACTTTGTTCAGAGCAACCGCCGACTTTTGGGAATAATTGTAGCCTTCCAGACGTGTGATGAGTTGCATGGTTCCACTACCTGATGGTAAGCCTCATATGATCTCTATCTTCTTCTCAAGACGAAAATAACGTTCATTATTCGATTCTCAAGGAACGATGATGATTATGAACGGAGCCATGGAAGGCGTCGCCGGCTTCGGTCTCGCATCCGACCCAAATTTCAACGCAGTCCTGTACGACCCCACTCTGCCCGTCGGTCAACGATTCTCCATCCTCAATTCGACCATCGTCGCTCGGTTGTATCACTCCGAAGCCACTCTTCTACCTGACGGTCGGATTCTTGTTTCGGGAAGTGACCCACAAACGCCTGGGTTTCCGGAGGAGATGAGGATCGAGGTTTACATCCCTCCGTATCTCAACCAAGGCATCCGCCAACCTGAATATAATATTTCTGAAACGGATTTCGGGTATGGTGAGACGTTTGAGATAACGAATGTGGAAGTGTTCCATGGAGAGATTGCTAACGCCAAGGTTTCCATGATCGCAGGTGCGTATCGTACATTAGAATGATTTGCTTACTACCGCATACTAAAGAGTTTACATTTTCGTTGGTCGCTCTAGCCACATCAAGCACACACGGGAATGCTATGGGCGCTCGGACGATTTTCCCAGAGTTCTCCTGTTCCGGTACGACGTGTACGATAACCACCCCGCCCAACGCGTTTGTCTCTCCGCCTGGGTGGTGGCAACTTTTTGTTTTGGACGATGCTGGGACTCCTTCGCATTCGTCGTGGATCAGAATTGGAGGAGATCCGGGGCAGTTGGGGAATTGGCCAGATCTTCCTGGATTCACGACTCCAGGGGTTTGAGGGAGTTGTAAAAGATTTGTAAAAGATTTGATTCTTTCGGATGAGGAAGTGTTACCCTTTTTGTTTTCGTAGGAAATTTTGGGAATTTTGTTTTCTGTTCCTGGGACTTTTTTCCTCTGATTGTTTTATCTCTCTCCCGCTCGCTCTTCACATATGCTATCCATCTAGCCAACTCCTGTCCTTACCCCACTTGCGTAGCTTCGATATCTCCTTCACACACGACTGAATACGTAGGTATATATGTTCGTATCGCTAGTGGCTCTTACTACTCTCACTATTCTTTGGGATCGTTCAAATATGAAACAAAAATACGTAATACAGCAGGATAGGAATTTTACTTTTATTCGGGGCCCTCAAGTTGGTGTCTGTGTTCTAAATTCTGGCAGTAAGAAAAAATAAGGAAAAACAACGTAGTGTACTAGTAGTGGATGTATGAAACATATTATTAAATCAGGAGATATGTGCGGAAGAGTATCGTACCGCACCAACCCCCAGGCAAGTGATTTTGTGAAGGGAACGATTATCTTAAGTTCAGATGTGAGTGACATACCTATTCATTGAAGTGAACAAAGATTGAACAAAAAAGAAAAGTTCATTTAGGAAATGAAAAAAAAATGTCGCAGCTAGTTGGAATGGCTCGACCCGGGCTCGAACCGAGGACCTTCTGTGTGTAAGACAGATGCGATAGCCAACTACGCCATCGAACCATGTCTAATCCATTGGCACTGATTAACATTACTGAGAATTTCAAATCTTTTATAGATTTCATGAAATTCGGTAATCATGATAAAATGTTAATTGTGAACATTCGCGAAGGGTTTCCATTTGAAATTTCGAGAGATCTAGCAAAGGTGATGAGTTGATGCGAGTGAGTTGTATCCCATAACTGTTCCTGTCGGGGCAAATAGGGCGAAAGAAACATAACAATAAAGAAACATGAAAAAAAAAAAATAAGCAGAGATTGATCATCAGATTATTATACGCATACTTACATGAACCAAAAACTAAAAAATCATAACTCTGTGTTAGTGCTAAATCCTTTCAGCTATTGTGATTCGACCCGGGCTCGAACCGGGGACCTTCTGTGTAAACTCTATATGTTAGACAGATGCGATAACCAACTACGCCATCGAACCTCCTGCAGCTGGCCTATAAATATCAGTCTATAAGTGATGAGACTGATGCAATGGGCAATGGGCTTTGGTTCTAAAGTGCAGTACCTAAATTATGGTAGAATTCAACTTGAACCCTCCATAATACTGAAGCATAAACTGTGGGGAAATCTGGTGTAGCATATACTACATATACAGTGACAGCAAGCCATCACAAGCACCCCAAAATGGGCAACTTTTCTCATCTGCCAAGAGAAGGCTTTCCTTGAGACAACTCCTTGTCCTAAAAGGTTGAATATTGAGCTGTTTTCTTCCTCTTATGCACAATGAAACTGTAGGATGTATGGTTACCTACCAGTCTGAAATTATATTCTGTACAATTATTATAAAAAATTATAAGAATTACATGATCCTATCTAGGTGGTTCAAGCCTGATATCCTCGATCCAGATCTCTCTGTGATGCCCACCTGGACTTCCTCCTTTGCAGCCTTGTTGAGGGAGCTCCAGGATAATTTTGGTATGTACAACACACAAGGTGAGGCTGAGGATAAACTCAGAGCATTATGGATGAAGGAGTCTGATAATGTGCAGAAATACAATATCCGTTTGAACACCCTCGTGGCATCCACCAACTGGGACTCACACACTCTTAAGTAGGCTTATCAATGTGGCTTGGCAAGCCATATCAAGGATGAAATGGGTCATCTGCTAGAACCTGCCATGTGTCATGACAACTAAGTACTTACATCATTTTCTTTCTTTCATTTCACATGCTCTAGTAACCACATGACCATGTTAATTACTCATCATTGGTCAGTGATTGAGTGTTACCTCAATTGTTGGAACCACCTGGTCCTCCGGGACCTCCGGGACCACTAGGTGCACCGGGGTTATTGTCATCATTGTTGTTGTCATCATCAGAGTCATCAGGCCCAGGGGGGTTGTTTGGTGGTTGAGTGTCATCACGATCGTCAAGGAAGTCGTTGTCTGACGTGTCTTCGGCTCCGGTGGGAGTTGGAACTGCTGCCGTACGAGGAATCTGAGTGTGATTCTTCTTTGGGGTCTGAACCACGATCTCCTGGCCATCTGCGGTGTACAAGATTTCGTAGTTGACTTTCAGGTTGTCGTTCCTACCGAGGACGTTTGATGTCGAGACTGAGGACATAGCACTCGCAGATGTGATGGGGCCAAAACCTGGGTGTCGTGCTTGTTGAGAGCCTAGTGCGGATAACGATGCTGTGTAGGGTGCAAAGGATTGCACGTTGTTTGCGAACGGGTTACCTCCGGGGTTTTCCTGAGAGTGGTCAGGACTGGTGTTTTGATTGCTTTGAGTTTGAGGGGCCATATAGATTTGAACGAAAGGATCAGTAACAGTGTAGAGAGTAGAGTTTTAATATACTGTTAGGAGCGTGCAGATCAAGTGGACCTTTGATACCATCATTGACAATACCCTTGCTATGCTGTGCGGTCCGTATTGAGTTCATTCGAGATTGAGATAGTATCAACTGAAGGTCGACGGGGTCGAACAAGGTATAAGGGTGATAAGGGCAAGTGTTGTATGATTATTGGGAGTCGTACCAATTTGATGCTAAAAACTAAGGCTTCTACCTACGACTGCAAGTCTTATGTGCTAAGTTCGCTATCTCCGGTATCGCTACAGAATATCCTAAAGTAGTTGCGACAATTCGGGAGTAAAGATAATGAGTGCGGATAGGAAGACAGTGGACTAATGGGGAGAGGAAGGCGGTATGGTGTATGGCCCGTCCAAAGGGGGAGCGACGGGATAAGGAGGATAGGTGGATGAGTATCACGGAAGTAGATTACCTGATCTATATCATTGGTGCGTCGCATCGATGACAGACTTGATCATGTTTGGTTGACTGCGTCGGTGCAGAGCACTACGCGCTGTCGCGACGTAGGCGGAAGCGACGATGGGAAGTGATTGAAAGCACAGCACAAGCACAAACTTGAGTGTGAGTAACGCTCAACACACAAAGGCAGAAAGGGAAAGTGATCTCAGCGACTGTGATAGCATGAAGGGCCAATCACAAGGGTCAAATAAGGCAAGCTAGTTCCCAAAGACCAAGAGGTCGAGATAGGGAACTGGTAGCTGTCTACTATACTATATACATATACGAGTCTGAAACAATAGGAACCAGGGTAAGGGACAAGGGTAAAAGAACAAGGAACAAAGAACAAGAGCGCAAGAGTGAAATAGTGAAGAGCGAATGAGGAATAAGGAAAGAGCAATAAATTAATGACAGCGCGAGAGTGAGTGGTCAGATGAACGATGAGTAATGAACACGGTCATGTGGTTACTAGAGCATGTGAAAATGAAAGAAAAAAATGATGTAAGTACTTGGTTGTCACGACATTACCCCCCTTCTACAGTCAATGTCCCAGCGACCAGCTCTGTAAGGTTTTCATAGGCTTGCCAGGGCAGCGAATTAAAGATGGCTGCTGAGATCTTCCGTGGCGCATTGGGGTTTGTCCGGTAAAAGTCTACAATTTCTTTGTCACTTGATCCCTTCACATTCTCCTCTGTCGTGACAACTAAGTACCTATATCATTTTCTTTCTTTCATTTCACATGCTCTAGTAACCACATGACCGCGTTTGTTACTCATCATTCATCTGACCACTCACTCTCGCGCTGTCATTAGTTTATTGTTCTTTCCTTGTTCCTCATTCGTTCTTCACTATTCCACTCTCGCGCTCTTGTTCTTTGTTCTTTGTTCTTTTACCCTTGTCCCTTTACTCTGGTTCCTATTGTTTCAGATTCGTATATATAGTACAGTAGACAGCTACCAGTTCCCTATCTCAACCTCTTGGTCTTTGGGAACTAGGTTCGTGTTTGTATCTTCGTTTACACTCAATATTGACTTGGTCTTTGGGAACTAGTTTGCCTTATCTGACCCTTGTGATTGGCCCTTTGTGCTATCACAGTCGCTGAGATCATTTATCCTTTTAGACCTCTGTGTGTTGAGCGTTACTCACACTCAGGTTTGTGCTTGTGCCGTGCTTCCGATCGCTTCCCATCGTCGCTTCTGCCTACGTCGCGACATCCTCATTTTCCCAACTGTCCTGTCCTTCATCATAACCCTTCCATCGTACCAAAAATTGTAGCTTCTTCCATCGCCCATAAAACCTACTGTCCAAAATTTTGTCCACCTCATAGAACTCTTCCCCCTCCATAATCTCCGGATCCGGTGGTGGTGGCCTAACTCCATTAACCTTGTTCCCTTTCCATGGTGATAGTTGATTGACATGGATGTTGTCGTGGATCTTCATCCAGGTTGGTAGGTTAAGGCGATATGTCAGAGGCCCGGTCTTTTCTGCTACTTCGAATGGCCCAGGTCTCCAACTCCCAAGTTTTTGATTTTTCTGGCGGATCTTTAGGTTCTGTAGCGATAACCATACCGGTTGTCTGACTGTGAATGTCTGCACCTCCCTTGTGTTGTCTCCCTTAATACACTCCTTACTCATCCTAAGAGCTGCCTCCGCATCCTCCCGGGCATGTTGTAGCAACGTCAACTGTTGATTGATTGTTGGGTATTTGTTCCAAACTTTGATTGGAATTGTGAATTCAGGGGTGTATCCATAGAGGGTTTTGAATGGGGAATGATCGTGAGCAGAGTGAATCCGAGAGTTAATAACAAACTCAGCGGTAGGTAGTAGCTGATCCCAATCATCTTGCCGTCGGCTGATATACATGTGAATGTATCGTTCGATCTCCTGATTTGCTCGTTCTGTTTGACCATTTGTTCCGGGATGGTATGCTGTTGTGAGTGTGCCGATTCGACCCCGAGTCGTTTCAAGAGTTGCCTCATTACATCTGCCGCAAATTGGGGCCCCCTGTCAGAAATGAATCGTCGGGGAAGACCATGAAGTTGAAATATTTCGCAGTAGAAGAAGTCGGATATGCCATCAGCAGTGATTTCTGTTGTGGTTGGGAAGCAGTGGATCATTTTGGTATAATGATCGACAAAGGTTATCATGGCGTTATGTCCATCCTGGGTCATGGGGAGCTCTCCGATGAGGTCTACGCCAATATCCTGCCATGGACCGTCTGGAACAGGAAGAGGCTGAAGTAGAGAGGAGTGGTGTGGATTGAGCCATTTCCGTTGACAGAGGTCACATCCTTCTACGTATTTGTCCACAAATGATCGCATCCCTGGCCACCAGTATTGCCTGCTAACGAGTTCTAACATACCATGCATTCCCGGGTGTCCGGATGTAGGTGAATCGTGACATGACCGGTGCGCATGATTGTAACACAAAAGAAGATCTTTGATTTAATTGATTACATGTCACAAGTCCCAAGTCAGGTGGAGAAGGAGAAATGATTTTGATTCTCAAGAGTTTCTCAAGAGTTGAGTGTAAGTAGTAGTAACGCGTTGGTATTACGTAACCCCCGAATGGGCCTGGTGGTGTTTAACGCCTAACGCCTGGGGCTAATGCTCGTGTGTGGGTATTACGTAACGGAATCGACGCTCGTACACTCGTGCTGTTTGTTACTCGTACTGTTTGTGTTACTCGAACTCGGGCTGCTACTCGAGTACTCTTGAGTTACTCGTGCTTTTTCTTTGTTTCTTTGTCCGTACAACGGCGCAACGGCACAGCGGCACGACGTACATCGTTTTCAACGCCTCTGAACGTTTTCATCGTTTTCAACCGCACATCGTTTTTATCGTCCATCGTTCGTCGTGTTCGACTAGGAACTAGGAACTAAAACTCGAAAACTAAAACTCGAAACTTCAGAACCGGGAATCGAAAACTCAGAACTCAAAACCAAGAGTCGAAACTCGAAACTAAAACTCGAAAACTCAGAACTCAGAACCGGGAATCGAAAACCAAACTCAAAACCGGGCCAATCCCCGCGAAGGCTGGGATGGAGACGATTTCTACGAATACGAATACGAATACGAATACGAATACGAATGCCACTACGAGTTGGAATGGGAATCCAACTCTGAGTTTGAATACAAATACGAGTTTGAATGGGAGTAGGAATGGGAGTGGAA